CCCCAGGGCCTGAGACTGCGACATGGAAGGCCCTGTGACACCCCATCTGTCCCTGGCTCTGATCTCCAGGCCCGCCTCTGCCTCTCAGAGCTTGGCTAGCTCTGTGTCGGGCGACAGTGTGTTCTCCTGCGGAGGAGGCTGGCGGTGTCTTTTCGGGTCTTTTCATCTCCTGTCCTCAGGGCCTCCTTTGCCACCCCCAGGACTAATTAAGGCATTTTCCTAAACAAGCCGGGTTGCATCTCAGAAAATGAATTCTGAAGCCAGCTGGTAAAATTAATTTCCTCCCCTATCTTCTGTCATTCCGGAGTGAGTGACACTCAGGAACACTCAAGCAGGTCAGTGTCCTGGGACGCAAGAGGCTGTAGGCTGATCATGGCTGACCCATGAAGCTTCAGTGTGGCCAGCCCAGGCAAGGGTAACAGATGCCTCTAAGGCTCAGTGACCAAAGACAACTAAGGGCTTCTTTCTTTTATTTTTATTTCTATTTTTTATTTTATTTTATTTTATTTTTTTTTCAAGACATGGTTTGTCTATATAGCCCTGGCTGTTCTGGACTGTTCTGGACTTGTTTGGTAGACCAGGCTGGCCTTGAAGTCACATCAATCCACCTGCTTCTGTCTCCTGAGAGCTGGGATTACAGGCATGTGCCACCATGCCCCACCCAGCCCAATGTTTTTAAGTTTTATTTTGAGACAGGGTTTCAATTAGCCCAGGCTGGCCTCAAATTTACTAAGGAGCTAGGGATAACCTTGAACTCCTGATTCTTCTGCCCATACATCCTAAGTGCTAGAATAACAGGCTCCTTTCCAGGCAATGATACTGTGTGACTGGTCCTTGCCCACAGAGCTTCGACAGCTGATCATTTTTTTCCTTGGGGCAAATCTCCGGGATCGAGGGTTTCTCCACTGGAAGGGAGTGAGGGTTTCTTCACCAGAAGGGCTTAATTTGAAGAAGGCATTTGCCAGACTAAAGTCACTGTGTAGGGTGCGCCAATGTGCTGTGCACATGTGGGCAGACAGCATGGAAAGGCCAGAGGCCAAGCGCCTCAGCTGGCCAGCCAGCAAGCTCCAGGCGCGGCTCCTCGGTCTCTCCGGAGGTGGGATTAGAGGCGAGCAGGTGACATCTGGCTTTTTGCGTTGGCCGCCATGCCTGCACAGCTAGCACTCTACCTGCGGGGTGACCTCCCCAGCCTTGCCCTCTCCGCTAGCTCACCGATGAGGAGAGAAGAGACTCACACGCAGCAGTGAGTCATGAACCCAGTCTGAGACGGAAGCCTGTGCACCAAGCTAGTCTGGTGGACTTCCCAGCGTGGGTGTCCGCAAGGTTACGCCAGAACATCCAGATCCCTTCTGAACAGAGACAGCACCCGACAGCGACTCTCGTTAGGCCATAACCGTGGCTTCATCGAGGAGCTAGGCTGCCCGCCCAGCCACACCTAGCTAACAGAGATACAGCACTCACCCGCAGAGCAGTCACCGATGTCTGTGTCACACGTCACGCATGTCCACCTCAAAGGCGTGTCAGACGCCAGCTCCGATGTGGGACATTCAGCTCACGGGGGCAGGGTGGTTGTCATGGAGCCTCCCAAGAACCCCAAGAAGAAAAGACATAGGAAACCGCCTTAGAGTTGAAGTCAAGGACTAGGTTACCTCGTGGGCAGTCTTACCACATCTGTTCTCGGAAGCTAAGCAGTAACTGGTGGGTGGGTTAACAGATGAATGGCCTAACCAGGGACCAAGCTAACCGGTTAATGGATAAATGGGTTAATAATGAATGGACCCACTGGCAAGTTGGTTAAACCATGAAGAGGTTTGTAGTGGAAGTTTTGGTTTCTTTGTATGTTATGTCAATATGCTTTTCTTTTAACCCCAAGCGTGGGATTTCAGTTGGGCTATAGTTTGTCCACCCCTGTTAACTGTCATGTGTGGGGCGTGATCTTTGCCACCTGGTAATGGCCATCCCTGTGCCACACAGAGAGGAGCGTGGTCTAGAACTCTGAGAGTATAACTATGAGGCCGAGAAGGAGACTGTGCAGTGTTCGGTGTTGGCGTGGAGGAGCCTGCTGGCTGTGTCGTCTGCTGTTGACGGGGACTGGCGTAGAGCCCTAAAGAACCCCTTGACCCTGAACAGTCCGGGGGAGTAAAGGGGTCTGGGCCCCTCTTCCCGCTCACCTTTTCTGTCTCCTACTTCAGGCTGGGGGTTGGTGGAGGCCTGAACACCCCAAATAAAGGAGAGACTTAGGAAGGCCGCCTCAGAGGTTACTAGAGGGCGGGTTGCCCGGTGAGCGCTTAGAGGGATGAACAGCTGATCGGGTTAATTGGTTAACTGGCACTGGGTTAGCGCAGCCCTGTATTACCATATCTGGTTCTCACTGTTTCTGCCTTGCTTTCCAAGTGTGAACCAGCCTTGCTCAGAGACCTGCCCTTCTGATCACACCACTCACACCCCCGCCCTGCTCCGACCACTTACCCACACCACTCACACACCCACTCATATCACTAACCCCCCACTCAGCCACTCACCTGCTGATGCCACTCACTCCCCCACTCCCTCACATAGCTCACCCCACATCCCCTTCAGTACTCACAGTCTCCAAGCTCAAGCAGGCCAGCAATGCTTAGCGACCCGAAGAACTAGGGACCTGTGCCCTGCCTTGGCCAGTGCTGCCCGGGGACCCTACGATTGCCACCGGACCTTCTGGGCCTATGATGCCCAACCCAGTGGAACTTGGAGGGCAGAGACGGGACTGCAGAGGCATGCAGACAGGACTCAGGCCTCACCTCCGGGACCATCTCAGCTCATTCGCCATCTGTACCGAGGGCAGTAAACATCCCTGTCAGCTGGGCGCTGGTGGCGCACGCCTTTGATCCCAGCACAGGGAGGCAGAGGCAGGCGGGTCTCTGAGTTCCAGGCCAGGCTGGTGTGCAGAGTGAGTCCGGATAGCCAGAGCTACACAGAGAGACTGTGTACCAACTCTATGTTCCTATCTTCTTGCAGTATTGCTATCCTGCGTCATAGCCTCATTCTGGGCAGCCAAGCTGGAAGCTTCCGGTTCTAGAAAAGTCCATGGAGGTCCTGGATGCAGCCCCACCGAGTCACCGGCTTGGCTCGAGGACACTTGGGGACCTAGGAGGTGCCCTCACAGCCTATTTCAACTCCGGGACAGGGCCATGCTCACTGGATGGCCTTTCCACGAGGTGGGAAACCTGCTTCTCGGGTGGGAATCGGGTCACCCCAGAAGCTGGAGGGTACCAGAAGTCTGTGAGGCGCTGGTGAGGCCTTTGCGTCTCCAAGACCCCTGTCTTCCCACAGCGCCCCACAGGCACAGCCGCAGGCGGTGGGAAAGCTGGGGGCGTGGCCTCTGTGGTCTGTGGAAGGAACCAAGATGTAGGCTCCATCCTCTCATTGGGCAGCAGCGAGGACTGGGACTTGGAGCGGGCGGCGAAGGCCACCCTGCCTCGGGCCCGGGGTGGGGGGGTAGGGGGCCCCTTACAGCGAACAGGAGTTGATGGGCAGGAGGGAAGATGGTGGAGGGCGTGGCTGGGAGGCGGGGGCGTGGCCCGCAGGAGACCGCGCGCGCCTGGGGGCGGGGCCGAGGCGCAGGTACGCGCCTCCCATTGGGCGGTGGCGTGGGCGGGGCCTGTGACCGCTGTGAGACAGGCCCCGCCCCCAGCCCGCGGGGATCTGCGCGGCGGAGGAGGCGGTGAGCGCGCGGGCTTGCGGCGGCGGTTGGCGGGCGGGCTTCCGCCGTTGGGACCGCTGCGGCCTGGTCGCTCAGGCTCGGACGCCGCGTCAGACGGCCTGGGGGTGGGTGAGCCCCCTGCGGCCTTGGGAGGGCCGGGCGGGGCGCAGGCGGCGAGCCTGGGGAAGGGCGGCGGCTGGGCCGAACCCGCTGGGCCGCGTCCGGTTCTGCGCAGGGCCCATGTGCGGCAGAGGCCCGCGGGTGCTGAGAACCTCCAGTTTCCTGCTGCGAACCCTGTTATTTTTTTAACCTGACTCCCCCTCTCTGCAGTCTGAGCCCCCGTCTCCTCCGAGAGCCTCGTATTTCCGGCCATCTGATCCCTATTTTCTGCAGCCCGAACCCCGTATTTCCGGCCTGATACCTCTCTTCTGCAGCCTTAACCCCGAGTTTTCTACCTTATCTCCCCTCTTTGCAGTCTGAACCCGTGCCCCTGCTGAGATCCCGAATTTCCTGCTGGAAGCCCCATATTAACCCGATCCCCCCACTTCTGCAGTGTGAAACCCAACATTTTTTGCTCGATCCCCCTCTCTGCAGCTTGAATCTGTGTCCTTGCTAAGAACTCTGAATTTCCTGCCTGAAACCTCCATTTCTTCCCTTTGGACCCCGGCTCTGCAGTCCAAACCCCAGACTTGCTGCTCAAACCCTGTCCCTGTTGTGAACTGCAAATGTCATGTCAGAATACTAGTCTTTGCATCTTACACCCCCTGTAACCTGACCTCCCGTCATCGCTGCAAACCCTGTACTTCAGTCTCTGCAGCCTGAAGCTCAGTCCCTCATGTAGACCCCATCTTTGCATCCTGAGTGTCCTCCCTTCTGTGACCCTGGTCTATGCTGCAGGCCCCCTCCTCTTCCGCTTGCCTCTCCTCCCTGAACCACCTCGCTTGCTAGGGGGCCGCTTGTTCGCTGCCCCAACCCCAGTCTCTGTTACCTGAGCCTCATCTTTTGTTACCTGAATTCTCATAACTGCTGCGGAGTCCATCTTTGCTTCCTGAACCCCCACCCTGCTCTGATGAGCTCCCATTCGTGCTAGAAACCCTGTGATGCCCAACTCTGCTGCCCGTAGTCCCTGTCCCCGCTTCTGTGAACGCTTCTGCTACGTAAACCCTTGTTTCTGCTGCCAGGTCCCCTTCATGTTCCTGCTGTCCTTCCTGCTGCTTTGGTTTCCCCTCCCCCATCTTTCCATTTCTGTCCACAGCCCTGGCTGCCCCTGCCAGGGGTGTCTTGTCAGGAACGCCTGCATCTGTCCCTGTCCTTCCAGGGAACGGGGCAGTGAGTGCTCTGAGTTGTGGACTGCAGCCACCCTTCAGGCCTAAGGCAGAGGGCTGTGAGCTTTGATTGCTCAAAACACTGCCCTGTCAGAATGTTCTGGCTGCAACCTTGAAGAGGGAATCTGTTGAATTTTATTTCTGGAAAACGAGCCATTTCCCCAAGTTCCAGGGTACGTCCTGCACCTGGCTGTCCCTTGGCTTTTTGCCCAACCTCTCAGGGCCGGGTTCCGAGCTGAAGTGTGTCCTTAGGTGTGTGGGAAGGCAGCCTCTGCCCGGGAAGCTTGTGTCCCCGAGAGTCTCAGGGAATGGAAGCAAAGCCTCCGTAAGCCCCATGCACATTCTCTTACAGGGACCTCTGGCGTCAGGCCCTGCGGTACCGTGAGCCCTGAGACAGACAACCTTCTTGCCCCAGTTCTGAGTCATGACGGATGCCAAATACGTCCTGTGCCGATGGGAGAAGCGATTGTGGCCTGCAAAGGTGACATCCCTGCTCTCTTCATTTCTGGGATTAGAAATGGCTTTGGGTGACAATAAAGTCTTTATCAGGGTCTGTTTCCTTGGAGTGAGTCTGGGAGAAAGGGCTGAGCCTGAATGCTTGGTGCCTGGGTCTGCTGGCCCGCGGCCCGGGGTTCCCGCCACTCCGAGGGCTTTTGGTCTGGCGCTTAGGAGGCCCTACATCCAGAATTGTCTTTAATTATTTTTCACGCTAAGGAACAACAACAACAACAAAAGTCTGCTAAAAAAGGCACAGAGGCTGCGACTTCAGGGAAGATGTAGCTAGGCGCTCCCAGGCACGGAGTAAACTGGTGTTTGGGGTGCTTTCTAGCAAGTCAGTGGCAAGTGCTAGATCCCTGCCCTGACCCGGGGTGGCTGTTGGGGCAGCGGCCTCAGTTGGGGCCTCAGTTTCGCCTGGATCAGAGGAGCTTGGATTAGGTGTCGGGAAAGGCTTGCCACTTGGTCTGTCCCTGCACATCGCCATGACAAGAATTCTTTTTTTCTTTTTTTTTTACACGTAGGTTTTGGCCAGAACTGAGACTTCAGCGAAAAACAAGAGAAAAAAAGAATTATTTCTAGATGTTCAAATACTCTCGCTAAAGGAAAAGTTAAGTGTGGTTTTTCTGTTTTGTTTTGTTTTTGGATTTTGTTTTTTTTCCTAATACTATCTTCCCCGTCTGTCAGGGGTTTCTAATGCACTTCTCACAAAAGAGAGAGAAGCCTGCTTCCGCTGGGCTCATTCATTCTCTGCTTCTGTCTTTCCACACTAATAGCCTTGTGGGGAGGACAATGGATTTGAAGTTGAAGGACACCAATTTCAAGTTGAAGGTCTTACATGAGGCACAGGGGTCTGCAGGGAAAGAGGTGTCTCAAGGGCAAATAAATAGAAACCATTCCCAGAAATCCAGGATGGGGTCTCCCCTCCACCAAGGACCAGCATATCTTGTTTCTGATCTGGCTGCGCCGGGCCCACTTCTCCACTGAGAGAAAACAATATTTTTTTGCACTGTAAAGGCAGATGGGTAGCAGGACTCCGTGGTCCTTTACCTGATTGATCCCTCCTGGGTCATCTGCAAGGACTGTGTGGGTGTGGGCTTGTGGTTTGGTCCCCTGTCAACATCTTTACTTCTGAAGAGTCCACTGGCCACCCGTCTCCCGGGTCCCCCCTGGCCGGCTCCTTCCTGCCACGTCTTCAGAGCCCACCACCGCTCGAGAGAGTCCCCAGCTCCCGCTCTCCCTGCGGCAGGGAAGGTAATTGAATACTTGAGTTTAAAAGGAAAGTGCGTCCTTTTAAACCAAACCGCGCCTGCTGGGCTGTAAACAGCTCGGTGACATTAGCGGCTATTCGGAAAACCTAACAAAGGAGTTATTTGTGCAGTTGAAAGTCGGATTTGCCTCATGAAAGTCCCAATTTGAATTTATTTTTACTCTTAACTCCAGCCGACCTTTTCTTTCCTGAAAGAGGGGGGGAAAAAGAGAAGAGCAAGAGAGAAAGAAAGAGAAAGCCGTATCCACCTTGGTTGGCTGTGCCCGTTACCTTGGGCAGACTGCCCCTCCCTGTCCTCCTTCAGTGTGTGACTTTTTTGGTGTGAGTGGAAGGTTGCGGGGGACATCTGGACAGTTGGGTGGCAGGGTGGTGGCACTCACCCGCTCGTTGTTGGCGCAGGATCCAGGTGAAGAGCTCTGCTGTGGAGGCGCTGCAGAAGTCACACATCGAGAACATTGCCGCCTTCCTGGGTAAGGGCTCCAGCCAGGCCGCGCGGCGCGGTGCCGCAGCCACAGGCCTAGTTTTTGCACGCCACTTTGTTACAGGGAACCTCACCGGAGGAAATATGTATTTGCTCGCCTTTTTCCCCCCTCCTTTTAAGACAGGGTCTCATGTTACCTGGGTTGGTGTTGAAATCGCTATGTAAGCAAAGGCTGACCTTGAACTCCTTCCTATCTTCCTGCCTCCACTTCCCCATGCCGTGGTGATGGGTGACTGCCACCACCCCTCGTACATGTATACTGGGGACAGAACCCAGGGCCTGTGCAGAAAAGGTACTTGTAGTCCCAGCCTGGCACCTGCTCTTTAAAGCCTTTTAGACAGCCCTGCCCCCGGCCGTCTCTGTTGTCTCTTGTACATGGGTTTTCTGTTCGGGCAGTTGTGGGGATGGAAACCACCCACCGGCCTCTCCCAGCTTCTGCGCCCTTTGTGTTTGTCCCTTAGCTCTGGAGTTAGAGTCTCCTGCTGCAGTCTTGGCCGGTGGCCGCAGTGCTGCCTTGGCCTTTCTAGGGCTGGGATCACGGGTTGGCCCCCACGCCTGGGGTCTAGCCAGGGTCCTCCACACACCAGTCAGCTGCTTCTTAGACCTCTGACCGAAAGCAGACCAGCCAGATGGGGCCACCCGAGAGTCTTGCGATGGGCAAGGAGGACAGGAGAGGGCACCTGAACCACAGGAGCATAGAACCCTCTGTCCCCGGAACCCTAGAGCTCACAGTGTGGGCATAGAAATAGTCTTGAAGTGCGGGGTCAGGAAGGACTAGGAAGGCAGGGTCAGTGGAGTTTCGTGTCCCAGACCAGCCTGGCTGCAGACTATGGCTCAACCTTCTCTGTGGTAAATACTGGGCTGAGGCTGTTACTCTGCTCACGTGAAGCCTTGTATTCAGTCCCTGGGACCACAGCATGCACACATAACACAGACATACACATTTGTGTACATAACATACATAGACACACACACATGCATATATAACCTACAGACACACACATGCATGCATAACATACATACAGATAGGCATGCATGCATGGCATACGCACATACATACATAAATTGACAAGTTGTCACTTAAAGCCCAGGTGAACAGGGACAGAGCGGCAGCTTCCACGCTGATGGCTCCATGTCTTCTGCAGGTGCTGTGGGCGGGCGGGCCGGGCTGCATGGCGGCTGGGACTCGGCTTCCTTTGTGTGTGCAGGGCCTCAGTTGGGCACCCAGCACCGTTTCCTCTTGTGGCTGAGCTACAGTCCTCGTGCACAGGCATACATGGCGAGGGCTCCAGTCAGCAGAGCCGGCAGAGCCAGGCGCCAGCCGCGCCTTCCCCTCAGATTGAGAGAGCGAGTCCCAGCAGCCAAGACAGGCCCAGGGCAGCCCAAGCCAGGGTGTCAGGTGGGGGAGGCCGGGCTGCTCAGGGCAGCTGTGGGCTGTGCTGACAACTTCGCTTCTAGAGCCGGGGCATGCAGCGCTGGCCAGGGGTGCCGGGGAGCCGCTCCCCGGTGAACACATTTTAGTGTTTGTTAAGCAGGGGCCAAGCAGGGGTCCGAAAGGGGGAGGGGAGGCGGGGCGCCCGGCAGGCGGGAAGTGGTCCCTGCCGGCCCGGGCAAGTGAACAGTGCTGCGCGTGGGAGCCCTCCACATAGGTTTCTGCAGTGGTGCTTCGGGACTTTGAGGGCTTAGCGTTTAGCCAGTCAGGCTGAGGTCAGGCTGGGGGTGTTCTGCCCTCAGGCCCTGAGTGAACGTATTGTTTCGGGGACACAGCTAAGCAGTGCCAGGCCTGCTTGCGGCTGGGTGGGGCAGGTGCCAGGTACTTGGAGTACTTGCTGAGTCTGTTGCCGCAGGGCTCCGATAGTCTTAGGCACCCACGCGGAGCCCTCACTGTGTATCCTCGTCTCCATAGCCTCTCAGAACGAAGTCCCGGCTACCCCCCTAGAGGAGCTGACCTACCGGCGCTCCCTGCGCGTGGCCCTGGACGTCTTGAACGAGAGAGGCAGCTTGAGTCCCGAAAGCCGTCAGATGGAAGATGGGACCATGCTGTCTCAGAAAGAGAAGGCACTTGCAGATTCGGCCTCTCCGCTCTCCCGTGCCCCGTCTCCATCCGTTCTCGGTGAAGATGGTCAAGATGTGGTGGCCCAGTGCGCACCCAAGAGGAGGTGGGGCTGCGTGCCGCAAAGCCTGTCAGGGTTGCCTGCACTGGAAAAGAAACCTGGGTGCAAAGTGGGCCACAAGACAGCTCTCTCAAAGGACGGAACTCCGAGAACCCCAGTGCCTTCCCGCACTGCAGATGGCTCCCAAGATGGTTCTGGGTCACGGCTGGACCGTGGTCAGGAGGGCACAACCAATAAGAGGCGGAGAAATTTGGGAGAGAAACCTACCCGGCACCGAAGAACAGGGTCTAGCCTTTCCAAGGGAGAGGGTGTTGCAGAGAGCGAGGGTCAAGCTAGCTGTGTGAGCCCAGCTTCACCTAGGCTGCCCCCTCAAACCCAGGAGGAGGGTCCCTGTGCCACCGTCAAAGGCTGTGACCGGGTCATGTCATCAGGCAGTGGGCTGCCCCCAGCCTCTGACAGAGGCAGAGAACGCTCCGCAAAGCGGCCACGCTTGGATTCAGGCCAAAACCCACCCACCAGGCAGCTGGGGACTAGAACTGTTGGGGCAGCGCCCTCCCCTAGGAGCCGTTCCGGGGAGGTCACGATGCTTCGCAGCGCTGGAGACAGTGACAAAGCAGAGGAAGGTAACCGTGGCCAGGGATGCCTACCGTGAGGTTCTGAGGTGTGGCCATGCTTGTACCAGGCTCAGTGGCCCAGGTCTTCCCGTCTGCCCTCAGGCAGAGTGACTTTCTCCTCCCAGATAGTTCTGTCTTTGTGTTTGAGTTAGCATGGGAGCCCGGGCAGAGTTGGGATGGCAGTTGGTGGCCCCGGGAGGGATCCCTGCTCAGCATTTCTGTGTTGCTCTTGCTTATCGCAGAGTTAACAGTAAGTGAAGGGGCCTGCTGAGGGGATTAGGAGGCCCAGTGTCCGGAGCTGCCCGGAGGTCACAGAGGTCACGCAGGTCACGCAGAAACCTGTGTGTGGCTGCAGCCAGGGCTGGTCCCCTCTAACCTGTTGTGACCCCCTGAGCTCTGGCCGGAGGGTTCAGAAATGGAGTGTGTGTAGCGTAGGCCATAGTGGACCCTTCACAAGGCCGGACTGGGCCTGGTGGTGGGCTGCGGGAGCGGCAGGTATCTTAGGTTGAGGGGGACTGGCCCTGGTTAGTCCCCCTTTGGTTCTGGGGTCCTGTTCTCTGTGTATCCACCTGTCAGAGAGGTCACCACCTGGGGTTTCCACACTAGGAGCACGGCCCTTTGCTTCTCCCGTTTTTATTTTTTAATTTTTTAAGATGTACTCGAGGCTAGAGCTCAGAGTTAGAGGGCTTGCCTGGCAAGAGCGAGACACCGTGTTCATCCCTCGCATCAGAATTTAAACAATAACAGTGCAGGAGCCAGCAAGGTGGCTCAGTAGGTGAGGGCGCTTTCCACCCAGCTTGATGACCTGAATTTGATCCCAGGAACCAACAGGGTGGAAGGAGAGAATTGACTCCACAGAGCTGTACTGTGCGTCTGCTCCAATGTACATATGTGCGTGCACACAGACACATTCACACACACGCACCTGCACACGCATGCACAGACACGTGTGCAGGCACACACAGCACACATGAGCCGGCATAAATAAGATGCGTGCGCTCACATGTGTGCATGGGCCTGTGTTCCACCAAAACCCCCTGCAAGCTCGAGCTTGTGCACACAGAGACACGGGTAGGACATTTTTAAAGAGAGGCAAACCCCATTCTGCTCACAGGGTACACCTAGCTGAAGTCTGCGCAGGGCTCTGTCCTCTGTCATGAGCGGCGCTTTGTCCTTCGCCCCTTTGCAAGGTGAAGTGGTGGCCATCGAGCGGTGTCCCCCTGTCTCAGCAGATCCTGTGTCCTCAGAAGAGTCCACAGGGCTCAAGTCCGTCCAGTCCCTGCTGGAGGAGGAGGAGGAGGAGGAGGAAGAGGAGGAGCCTCCCCGGATACTTCTGTATCATGGTAAGAGGCTGTGGCATCTGGCAGAACGCTGGGGGACCCCACCCTATGCGCACTCCATAAAGCCATTTAGTTGTTTGGCGCTGCTGGGGCTTTTTGCTTTTGTTTTTGTTTTTAGACAGGATCTCACTGCGTGCCTTTAACTGGCCTGGAAATTGCTGTGTAGATAAGGCTGGTTCCTTGGTACCCCACCCCCCGGCCCCACCCTTGTGTTGGGATTAAAGGCATGAACCACCACACCTGGCATGTTTGAATTTCTATTGGCTGACCTGAGGCCTGTCCAGAACCTTGTCTTCCCCTCTCTGATGTGCTTTGTGTGGAGGGAGGCGGAGGACTCAGGAGAGAGAACCAGCCAGCGTGGAGGCCAGCCTTTGTCTTGGCCCCTCCCAGGCACACTGAGGAATGATGCAAGCTCCTTTGCCCTCAGTTGGGCAGAGCTACCTTTACCCATGTCCATCCAGAGAACGATAGGTCCTCCTTGAGAGTGTTCATGGATGGAGTGTGCCGAGGGTGGCGTGTGAGTCAGGGATACCGAGTGCACAGTGGGACAGCTCAGCCACTGTGGGACCCAAGGACTGTCCCTAGCCAGCTGCACATTGAGGTGGGGCACAGCGCACTGCGGGGCAGGCTGAGGGGCTGTTGGCCGCTGGGCTGGTGACCTACAGAGCGCCAGGTCCCATCTCCAGCTCACCTCCCATTGCTTCTTAGTGGCGTGAGTCCAGGTTTAAGTAGTCTCTGAGTACCCTGGGCTAAGCCCGCTGAGGATCTAGACTGTCAGGAGGGCCTGGGTGCTGGGGGTTGTGCCTCACACGTCCTCATCGTTTGGGTCAGATTTAAAGAGTGGGCCTATTGGCCGCAGAGGGACCCAGCTTCCTCACTTTCGGGTCTTTTGTGTCCTTCCTAACCCCCCACTCCAAACTCATGACAATTGTGGTTCCCAGCCAGGGTTGTCTGAGGTCTCTGAGGAGGGCCTCTCCCGGGTGGGCTGTGACCTTCCTCCGTGCCTTCTGGCTGCAGGGAGCCCGTCACAGCCTCCGGGTTCCGTGGTGGGAGGCATGGTGATGCCCCGTCCACTTCCTGCTGGTTTTCCTGTGCTAAAGCTTTAACAGTCTGCACTAGTCCTTCATCCTGGGATTCCTGGCAAGCAGAAAATGTAAAGTTTTACACAGAAAACCTGGCGGAGGCAGAGGGATCCCTGCAAGTTGAAGGCCAGACTGGGCCTCGTAATAAGGTCCTGCCTTAACAGTAACTGACGAAGGCAGGGCTGTGACTCCACGGTAGAGAACTTGTCTAGCGTGGACAAAGCCCTGGCTTCCAGCCCCAGCACCCCATAAAACAGGCACAGTGCATGTCTGTCATCCCAGCCGGGAGGCGGAGACGTGCAGATCTCCGAGTTCCAGGCCAGCCTGGCCACATAGACCCTGTCTCAAACAAAAAGCAAAGAATGACTTTTTCTCCTCTAAGAATGTATGTTTTCTGCATTTCGTGAGCTCAGTTTCTTAGGGTCTTAGAAGTTGGTGCCCTCGGGAGGCCAGTGCCCTCTGTGAGGAGGGTGACTATATGCTCTGCATGTTGGTGCAGAGCTGCACCCAGCAGGCATGGGCACAGGCGTCTAAATGTCTTGCTTTTCGAGGGTGTTAGACTTAGAGAAGGGGGCTTTGAAATGGGACTCCTCCATTCTGCTGCTGGCTTCAGCTCCTGCCACAGGACATTTATCAACAGGGACACATGCATGGTCGAAACGGGCACTCAGACGCCTGTTCTGTGTCTGCCCAGCTGTCTGGGTTCCCTGGGTCGATGGTGTTAGAGTTGGGCTTAAACAATGCCGTGACGAGTGAGTGTGGGTTTTCTTTTTTCTTCTGTCTAGACTATAGTTGTTCAAGGTGGGTCTGACTCTTCCCTTCCTTTGTCTTAATTGTAGAACCGAGATCATTTGAAGTAGGAATGCTGGTCTGGCTCAAATACCAGAAGTACCCGTTCTGGCCAGCTGTGGTAAGTGCACCTGCCACACGTGACCATCTCCAAACGTCTCAGCCCCCCAGTCGATTGGCCACATTTGCGCACCTGTGCTGCAGCCACTGCTGTAGGGACTGCTGTGTCCCACCCTGTGTCTCCCCCACACCCTGGGATGCTGGCCTCACATCTAGGTTATTTGATGGGTTTATGTCTTGTCTCTGATTTTTGTTCTCTTTTGGGGGCAGGGTTTCTCTGTGTAGCCTTGGCTTCCCTGGAACTCATTCTGTACACCAGGCTGACCCTGAACTCACAGATCTGCCTGCCTCTGCCTCCTGAGTGCTGGGATTAAAGGCATGTGCCACCAGCGCCCAGCTCTTGTCTCCATTCTTTAAGGGTAGAGATCAGGGCCCAGAACATTCTAGCTTTAGACAAGTGCCACCGGGGCCACAGTTCAAGCCCCAGTTAAATTTCGTCAAGTGTTTAATTCTGGAACGTTGAGTGTATACGGTGCTGTTGGCCGGTCATCCCAGCACTAAGGCAGAGTACGGCGAAGTCAAGACCCTGTCCCAAAAGAGGGGCAGAGACTGACAGAGGCCTGAGGTGAAAGCAGCTGGAATCTGAGTGGCTTCATCTGGTATGGTGTCCCTCAGCCCTGCCTGCACCCTCCCTTTCTGCCGTTCTTAAAATCGCCTGTTTGTAGTGTGCCCTCATGCCTGACTGTCTCCAGGCACAGGGTTAGGTGGAGACGTGTTGTCTTGGAGACCATCTGGCTGCTCAGAAAGAGGCTTGCCAGTCTCCTCCATGGCCCCGGGAGAGGGTCTCAGTGGCCTCCACACCAGAGCTTCTGTGCTTCCCTACTGGACAGCTTCCACCCAGCAGAGCCAGGGACGGGGTGGTTCGGCAGAGAGGCACAAGCAGGGGCAACACAGCCTGTGACTGAGAGACCAAGATAGGAGCCTGGCATCCTCAGCCACAGAGTTCAAGGCCAGCTCGTGTTCTGGGAGACTCCGGAAACAAAGCTGGACGGGTGGGAGGGCTCAGCGGGCACACTGCTTGCTGTGTTAGCACGAGGGCCTGAGCCGAGCTCAGTCTGGGGAGAAGGGAAGCAGACTGCAGGCCCTCTGGAAACTGTCATCCAGTGTGGCATGGCAGCTGCACTGACAGACCTTGTCTCAGGTAGGGTGGAAGCTCAGGGCTGATGCTTGAGGGTGTCTGTGCGTTCCGCAGGCGCCTGCAGCACTTGCGCATATAAAAAGATGGAGGAACAAGCTCCAAATGGAGAACTACGGATTCCATCTCTTAGCACCACAGAGCCGGGGGGAGCAGTGGGCCAGTGGGCCCTGCAGCCTGAGCCGCCCCCACCAGCACTAGGATGGCCCACCCAGTCCCAGAGAAGACCTCGGAGGGAGCTCCGCCTTTGCCCCTTGTCATTCTGTGCTGTCCCAATTTGCCCACAGGTCAAGAGCGTTCGGCGGAGAGACAAGAAGGCCAGCGTGCTCTTCATTGAGGGCAACATGAACCCCAAGGGCCGAGGGTTAGTGATCTAATGCCTGGGGCGTGGGAGGGGTGAAAACCTCTGCAGGGCCCCTGACTGGAGCTGCCGACACCGTGCAGTGTGCCCAGCGTCACTTGGTGCCGCAGCCAGATGTAGAGCAGGCAGCCAAGACCCTTGTGCCTGCATGCTGCACCAGGACAGGCCTTCAGTAGAATATGGTTCTTACTGAGCTGCGTCTGGCCAGTTTGCCTAAGGGTGCTCACCCCCGCCAGCAGCACACATGAGCTGACCAGCCTGTTCCCCGGCCCTCAGCCCGTCAGGCGCCTTCCAGAAGGTGACCCTGGCCGCCTGTGTGCACCTGTGGGTGGCTGGTTGGGGTAAGGAGCTGGGTCCCCAGTGCCACGGAGGTGCTGCAGCCCAGGGCAGGGGTAAGTCTCAGAGGAGGGCACCTGCTCTGGGTTGAGGCGGCCCGTGCTGACCGTGGTCTCTGCTCTGCCAAGAATCACTGTGTCGCTGCGAAGGCTCAAGCACTTCGACTGCAAGGAAAAGCACGCGCTGCTGGTAGGTGGCGGCCTGTGCTTTGTGGGTGTGGCAGCTTTGTTCTCCGGGGTGTGTGTGTGTGTGTGTGTGTGTGTGTGTGTGTGTGTGTGTGTGTGTCCGCACTCGTGGCTGCACCTTTGTGTCAGTGTTGTCACCTTTGTTCCGTTTGTCTCCGTGAAGGGGTGTGTGTTTGAGGCATCACTGGAGGTCAGAGGACGGCGTCTGGCGTTGGTTCTTGCTCCTTGTTGGAGGCCCCAGGGACCCTAGGCTCACCGCCCTTCTGGGCACCCTGTCTGTCTCACCCTAGGAGTGCCAGACCTCACCTGCACTACCATGTCTACGTTTCTGTGCTTCTGCAGATTCACACTTGTTTTCCTGAATGGCCTTTGTCTCCCTGGCCAGGAAAAATTATTTTGTCCCTATTGACACAAACCAAAACACCAGATTGTATTCCTGGTGTGGTACCACACGCCTTTACTCTCAGCAGAGGCAGGTGGAGGCCAGCCTGGTCTACAAAGTGGGTCCAGGACAGCCAAGGCTACACAGAGAAACCCTGTCTGGAAAAACAAAAACAAACCTACCAGGTTGTGGGGCGGTGATCTGCTGTGAGCAGCTGGGTGTCAGGGCTCCCGTGCATGGCCTTATGGTCGGTCCCTCCGAGAGGCACCCTGGGGAGACATTGAGGGACGGCAGGCGCTGCTGGCTGTGGACGCAGTCCAGTCATGTGGCTCATTACACATCAGTCAGAAAGTGCGCTGGTATGAGGGCCAGAGTGAGGTTACAGAACCCTCTTGAAAGGGATGTGAGGCTGTACTCCAGCACTGGGGAAACGGGGACCAGAGCACCCCTAGAGCTCACTGAGCAGCCAGGTTCGGTGGGAGACTGTCCCAACAAAGGCGTGGTGAGTGTGCAAGGAAGGTGCCTGCATCGGCCCCTGGCCGCCTGCAGTGCGATCACATACACAGACCTGGGGGTGGGACACAGCATCCAAGGTGACTGGGGGAGGTAGGGGTGGCTGGAACCCAAGTCAGGAGATTTAGGCATTCGAGGCTAGCCCTGGTTACACACAAAGCCTGGACTACCTGAGACCCTGGCTGAAGAAGGTCGGAAAGGTCAGTTGTTCACTGGCTTGCGGAAGCCTGAAAGTGCCCGCCTGTCAAACCTGTGGGCCAGGCCACACGCACCCACCTAAGCCAAGGAGCCTAGGAAACCAAGGTTCTCAGCCCTCTCACACCCAGCTTTTGGGCTTTGTAGGACAGAGCCAAGGAGGACTTCGCCCAGGCCATCGGCTGGTGTGTCTCGCTTATCACTGACTACCGGGTGCGCCTCGGTATGTGGGCTGTGCCCCAGGGAGCGGGTGGGTTGGGGCGGGGAACCATGGCATTGGCACCCACTGAGGGCAGGATGGAGGGCCGAGGTGAGTGTGCTCCTGGCCCTACATCGCTCCCCTCTTGGCCTGGTTGACGGTACTGTCTCTGGAAGGCGGGGGCAGGTGCGGCCTCCTGACTGGAGGCCCCACACAGCACGTCTCTGTGCTGACTGACTGCCGCCTGAACCCCTGGCAGCTCCTTCCGGGGGCAGTGGCAGGAGGCTCCTGGGCAGGAGTGGAGCCCCAGAAGCGGCAAGGCACAGGTCTGAGCATAGCCTTCTCTCCGCAGGCTGCGGCTCGTTCGCTGGGTCTTTCTTGGAGTATTATGCTGCTGATATCAGTGAGTATGACGTGTTTTTCAGCATGGGGTCTGCTTTTGGTCCTTGAGAGGCCATCTTCCCGAGGCTCCTGCTGTGCTCGCTGCCTGCACCAAGGTGCCTCTGTGCCCTGCATCCTGTCAGGAGTGCAGCTGTGAGCCGGGTGGGGTTGTCTGAGGAATGCTGCCGGCACCCTGGGACATTTAGCTGGCGCACTCAGCGGTCCCCAGGAGGTCCTCCTCATGGCCTTGGGTGCTCGGGGGAGGGTTAGGTGAAGGACTGAGGTTGAGGCTGGAGGATGACGCACGCTCCGGGTGTGTGTTCTCCTCGCAGGCTACCCTGTGCGCAAGTCCATCCAGCAGGACGTCCTGGGGACAAGGTTTCCTCAGCTGGGCAAGGGGGACCCTGAGGCGCCTGCAGGGGACAGCCAGCCAGGACAGTGGCGGCCATGCAGGAAGGTGCTGCCCGACCGCTCCAGGGCTGCGCGGGACAGAGCCAACCAGAAGCTGGTGGAGTACATCGTGAAGGCCAAGGGCGCGGAGAGCCACCTGCGGGCCATCCTCCACAGCCGCAAGCCCTCTCGGTGGCTGAAGATGTTCCTGAGCTCCGGCCAGTACGTGACGTGTGTGGAAACGTACCTGGAGGATGAGGCGCAGCTGGACGAGGTGGTGGGGTACCTGCAGGGCATCTGCCGAGACATGGACGGGGAGGTGCCTGCGAGCGGCAGCGGGGACCGCATTCGCTTCATCCTGGACGTGCTGCTGCCTGAGGTGGGCGCCCCATTCTCATGTTCAGCACTAGACTTGGGCTCTGTCCGTAGCTAGGGTTCCGGGAGGAACGAGTGTGGGTCCCTTAGAGAGGCTGCCGGCCTGTGCCCCTGGATGGGCCTTCGTGCTGTGGGTGGGGCTTGGCCACAGAAACTGAAAAACAAAGGCAAGGGTGTGTGTGTGTGCCAGTTGTGGGGCTCAGGCTTCTCCTCAGAACGGGCGGTGCATCTCCCTCAGCCTCGGGAGTACTTGGTAACAGGTCTGACCATCATACCAGGCCCCGTAATCGCCGTAACTACTGCAGTGTAGAACTTCAAAACTGGGTGTTTTTGCTGGGCTGTGGTGGTGCACACCTTTAATCCCAGCAGAGACAGGCCATCTCTGTGAGCTCCAGGCCAGCCTGGTCTACAGAGTGAATTCCAGGACAGCCAGGGCTACACAGAGAGACCCTGTCTGAAGAAAACAAAACTGGGTGGTTTTGACCTTCACAGGTCTTGATGCTGGGAGTGGAACCCAAGGCCTTCTGTGTGGCAGGCTAACTGCTCAGTCTCCACGGCCCTCTCCATTCTTCCGTAGGCGATCATCTGCGCCATTGCCGCCGTGGAGTCCGTAGACTACAAGACGGCGGAGCAGAAGTACATCCGTGGCCCGACACTTAGCTACCGGTAGGCCCCCTTGCCGTGGCCGCCTGTGTCCACAGGTGACGCAGCTGCTGTCTGTGCTCAGGCACGGTGTGGTCAGCTGGGGCTGGACAAAGGCCCACGTCTGCAGGCTGCTCCTCTGCGGGTCAGGCTGGATGCAGGCCAGGACCCTGGGGCTCGGCCGCTGCCACCTCTGCAGTCCTGGCCTGTCGCGTGCTCTGCCCGAGACCCCTGTAATCTCCTCCTCTGGAGTGTGGGCTCGGCCCCGCCCGCTGCAGTGCGGCTAGTGCTCGAGCTAGATTAAGAGACCGTGTAGCCGTCAGCCGCGCGACGCAATGAAGATGCCTCTCCTGTCGGCCTGCAGCCCTCCTGAGCTGTGTGGCCCCGGGGCCTCTAATCCACCTCTGGGCATGCTGCCAGACCTACATGGGCGAGGAGGCCAGTGACAGGCAGAGGACGCCACCGCAGCCAAAACGCAGGTCTCCGTCCAGAGCCGCGTGCCAGGCTCTGGAACATCAGGGCGCGTTGCCTCTATAAGAGCATCCCCGGGAGGCCAGCGGGGCCCTGGCCTAGGGCCTCTCAGTGCTCAGAGCAGCCATGTTAGGTCGAGGCTCCCACTGACCCACTCCGATTGCGCAGCTCTCCTGTGTTCAGGGTTCTGACCCCAGATGCCATTTCAGTAAGGGCCTTGGGACAGACACTCGGGCCTGCAGCAGTCAAGGCTCCATGCTTAGTACAGCCGTCCAGTGCTCTCCTCCCTGAACTTGCGAGGAGAGGAGGCGCCTACCTGGGCTAGAAGAACGGTCTCATTCGGCCTCTAAAGTGCCGGCGTTGCTGAAAACAGCTGGCAGTGTCTGCCTGTGCCCATAATTCCAGCACCCTAGTCATCAAGAACCAGGAAGGTGGAGATGGCTGGACAGTGCCTGGCGTTACTGTCTGGCGTCCATGCCTGCGTGTGCACGTGTGTATGTGTGCGTGCGTGCCTGCCTGCCTGCCTGCCTCTGCGCTTTGTCATCTGACATGGTTCTTGGGATGAATCCAGGTTCTTGCTCCTACAAGGCAAGTGCTTACTGCCCAGTCATGTCCAAAGTAATAGTTTTAAAATTTGTCTATGCTTATGAATAGGGTGTTTTGCCTGCACGTGTGTACCTGGGGCCTGCCGATGCCAGAAGAGGGCCTGGGTCACCTGAAACTCGTGTTATGGGTGGTTGTGAGTGGCCGAGTGGGTGCTGAGAACTGAACTTAAGTCCTTGTTAAGATCCCCCAGGTTGGGGGCTGGCGAGATGGCTCAGCAATTAAGAGCACTGGCTGCAAAGGACGCAGGGTCAAATCCCAGCACCCACATGGCAGTTCACAACTGTCTAACTCTAGTTCCAGTGGATCTGACACACACACTCTCGCGCACACACACACACACACACACACACAAATAATAATAAAATACATGGAGGCAGATTAAAAAAGAAAATCTATAAGTTGTCTATAAGCCTGGCCTATGTGAGATTTTGACACCCAGTGAAATGGCAGCGTGGAGCCATGCTCAGTGGTCAGAGCAGTGTGCATGGAGCCCTGGGTTCCAGCCCCAGCTCACCTGGCCAAAGTTGAAGGCCAGCCTGGGCTACCTGGGACCCACAGATTGTCCAGTGCGGTAGAATTCAGTGTCCCAGGCTCTTCGGTGTGGAAGTCAGTAGCCCTCTCTACCCACCGTCAGTGGAGCAGACTGAGCTTCCAGAACGCAGCACCGAGGGACGCCGGCACCCCTGTTGGCTGCTCCCCGTGGCAGACCGTCTTTGTTTTTCATGGCCTCTTTCTTTAGTGCATGAATACACCCTACCCAGCCTCTGTCAGGCCACTCGTTCCACGGTGGCAGGCGCCCGCTTGGCCCTGGAGTCCGACAGGCAGTCTCTTTTTCTTGAAGGGAGAAGGAGATCTTTGACAATGAGCTCCTGGAAGAGAGGAGCCGTCGCCGGCGCTGAGTCCGCAGCGTGCCCGAGGTCTCTGCGACAGTGTGCGAGAAGCAAGAGGCCTAGGAGTGACTTTGATCTGTGCGTCCTGATCTTTGCCCTTCAGCCCTGAGTCTGCAGGATCAGGTGCCGTCAACGTACCGGAAGCCTGCTGGCAGCTACGAACACTCGCTTTCTGGAAGTTTCTGTTTGTGTACACGTGTATGTTTGGTTTTTATTTTTTTAATTATTTTGTTTATAAATGCGTTTGAATGCATATGTGTCATGGTTACTGCACAGTGTGGCTGGCATGTGCACTTGGGTTTCATGTTGCTCCTTGTGTCAGCCCTATGGAAGTTTCTGGAAAGACTGATTTGAAGACTCAGCTCCCAGAGCGTTGACATCCTCCCCTGGCAGTGTCTTGCTTATTTGTTCTGTCTGGTTTCTGGGGTGTCCTCTGGTGAGCAGGAGGTGGGGTCCCCTGCAGCAACAGTCTTTGCAGGTGGGCGGTGTTTGGGAGGTGGGGACACGTTTGCTCAGTGGCTTCTGTGTGTAGTCCTGAGAAGACGGGCAGGTCAGCTGCGCTCCGCCCCCACGGTCCTGTCCTACCCAGCCAAGCACTAACTCTACCCCGAGCTGGCACCAGGTTTCAGTGTGGCCACCACCCCACCTAGAAACCATTGCAGGGCTGAGGGTGGTGGGGATGAGAGCAGGGACCGGCAGACTCCTGCCCTGGCTGCCATGCTGGATGCCACGGTCTCAAGGGGGCTGTTTGGAAGCTCCGTCCACCAGGAGCAAGGGCAGAGCCACTGCCAACAGTGGGCCGGCCCCGTGGCCCCATAGGCGCTCCGCCAGGTGTTGGATTACTGGATGTGGAACACATGGGTGCCCCTCACACTCGGGGCCATGCCAGAATGAGATGGGGTGTCACCCTGAGCACCTGCATCTGACAGCACGCATGGGCCAGGATGGTCCTGCACAGTTGGGGCTCAGAGTGCCCTGTCCGGGATGTGCACAGCAAGGCAGCATTGTTCGCCAACCTCCAGGCTCAGACTTCTCTACCATCTTTGTTGAAATTGGGTTGGGGAAGCTGGGCAGTGGTGGTGCATGCCTTTAATCTGTGAGTTTGAGACCAGCCTGGTCTACAGAGTCCAGGGCAGCCAGGGCTATACAGAGACCCCCCCCCCCCCAAAAAAAAAAAAAAAAAAAAAACACAAAAAACCTGGGTTGCAGGCAGGTCTGAGCTTGGGTTCAGGCTACAGCCTGTTGTGCTGCCCATGAGACCACCCAAAGAAGGGAGCCTGGATTCAAAGTGTGAGACCATTGCTGACAGGGCTGCTGGGCAGAGTGGCCAGAAAGAGCCCTGGTGGCAGGAGCTCGGCTTCCAGGGAAGTAGACGGGCCCAAGAGCAGTGCTGGCTGGCGGGGAGAAGGCTGTGGCCTCCGTGTGTGTGTTAGTCCTCAGCTCCCTAAAGCCCTGAGTCCTGTGTTTCAACCTGCCCTGACCCCACATTTCCCTCCACAGTTGGAGGCTTACACCTCGAGTTATGACCTAGTGGCTTTTCAGGGGCCAAGAAGCCAGATATGACTCACTCACCCCTGCCTTGTCAGTGCCCCGACATCATGGCTCCCATGTGCCCTGTTCTCAGCGCTTCAGACCTTCTGACACCAGATAGGTCATTTTCAGTGCATCCTATACCCTATGTACTGGCCAGCCCATACACCAGGAATATCCCCAGTTAAAATGGACATGTTTCCTAGACATCACCCACTGTCCCCTCAGCGAGGCCTCTCCTTCCTCTGCCTACTTCTTGTACATCGTGGTGGGGATGGCCTCAAGGCCTGGTCCACAGGGACCCTCCCCAGCCCGCCCATCCCTAGGCTCCCTGGCGCCATCTAGTGGTGTTTTCCCACTTTGCACATCTCGGGGACCTCAGGCAGAAGTGAGCATTCCCACACCCAGGCACGTCTGTAAGTGGACTGTGTCTGGTGCTGTGCCACTTGGGAAGTGACACCAAGTCCCACCCCTGCCCCACACGGCTGTGGCCTTCCCTTTCCACCCTTCCTCCTCCCACCCCTCCTCACTTACTGTTCCATCTCCCACCTTCTTACCCATGGCAATTTATGAAGCCCCGATCTGTGCCCTCATTCCCCCCGATCTGTCAGGCGCCCCGACACACTAACCCGACACACTCCACCAGCCAGAGCTACAGCATTTACCCAGAGCCTGGAGACAGGAAGTGCTCAGTTGTCTTGCTTCCTGCAGGTCAGGGGTCAGGAAGCAGCTTGGTCAAGACGGGTCAGGAGACGTACATCAGAGGCCAGGCAGGGAACACACATCCACACATCATGAGGCCAAAGACCCTGGGGTTCCCTGGACTTCTGCAGTGCTGAGGACGAACCAAAATCTTGTATGTGCCCTGTTCCACCAAGCTGTATTCCACCGTCTCTAAAGTGCACTGTGTTTAGTGTGTGTGTGGATATGCGTGTGTGTGAGACAGGGCTTCTTGTGGAAGCCTTCCCCTGTGTGGGACCCAGGGTTGGCACTTAGTCAGGCTTGGCAAGTGTCTCTTTCCCCTGAGCTAGCCGGCTGCCCCTCCCCCTCTCTAGTCCCAAGCTTAACCTCAAACACAACATAGCTCAGGGAGGCCTGGAATCCCAGGAAGCCCCACCTTAGTCACTCTGTCTTTTTGTCTTTGCCTCTCTTGAGACATATAGCCCTGGCTGTCCTGGGACTTGATATATAGACCAGGCTGACCTCGAACTCACAAGAGACCTGCTTGCTTCTGCCTTTCGAATGTAAGGATCCAGTGGTTTGCTGCCATATCTGGATCTTTCTCTTAGCATCTACAAACGCCATTCTGGGGACCCCGTGATCTCATCAGAGCCCAGCACCGCATCCCACCTGAGCTTACAGTCAGCCCAGGACGGTGGGTGCTAAGTTTCCAGCATCTCGTGGAGATGGCATTGCAAGGACAGCAGAGAGAAAGCGAGGGAACCCCAGTATAGGGGCCTCCAGTTAGCCGGGTCGATGTGCCCTATCAGAACACAAGCTGCGTAACAGGTGGGGGTTAGAGCATGGCTCTGGTGCAGGGCCCCTGACCAGCGTGCAGGACGGTGGTGGGCTCCGGCACTGGCAGATCTCACACGCAGATGAAATATTACAGTATAATATGGCTCCGCTGGCTATGGCCTACTTAGAACTTCTCCGAAGAGTTTGTAAGTTTTCTATGAATCTAAAAGTCTAGACGGACATGGTAGGGTTGAGGCTAGAGGATTGCCATGACTAGAAGGCCAGCACGCACACGCACACGCACACACACACACACACACACACACACATGTGTGCATGGAAATGCAAGCCCTGAGCCAATGCTATCCATGCAGAGGACAACTTCTGGAGCCGGTTCTCTCCTGCCACCTTGTGGGATCCAGAGACCTAGTTCAGACAGTTGGTCTGGCAGCAGACTGCTTTCACCCACCCAACCACCGTGCCAGCCCGCCCCTGTTTTTGAGACGGTCTCACGGAGCCAAGAACCCCTATCTCTCCTACCTCGACCTCCCCCGTGCTGGGGGAGGAACCCAGCGTCCTCTAGATGATAGGCTGCCCACAGACCTCCCAGATTTGATTCGTTTTCTTATTATTTTACTTTATGTGTGTGGGTGTTTTGCGAGGTCAGAAGAGACATCAGAGACCCTGGAACTGGAGTTCTAAAGGGTTAGTAGCCACGTGTACCCCGTTCTTTCAGAAGAGGAGCCAGAGCTCTAGAGAGATGAGCCATAATGGTAATGATAATGACTTTCTGGGAGGAGGAACTTGACCTGGTGCCCATCCTCCTGCTTCTCTGGAGTGCTGGAATGACAGCAGTCTTCACCCTGATATTTTTACATTTCATAATCAGTAATGGCTCTAGCCCTACCAATTTAAAGAATATTGGACTGGTCGTCAACATCTAAAAAGAATTTAGAAGTTAAAAGTTGGACTGGACAAATTCAGCATTGGAGGTTAAAATGAAAGAAAAAAAAAGAAAAAAGAAAGCAGACGCATTGTTCAAGAAGGCAAAAAGCCTTGCCGAAACCCGGAATCGAACCAGGGACCTTTAGATCTTCAGTCTAACGCTCTCCCAACTGAGCTATTTCGGCTGGGTGTCAAGTGGCGCTCCTGCAGAGACTCCGCCCCGTGCCGTGCGGTTGTGCGCAAGCGCACTTCAGAGCTCATATACAAAGCCTCGTAGGGTTACACCAGAGACTTTAAGCCGATGTTGTCTCTGTGGCGCAATCGGTTAGCGCGTTCGGCTGTTAACCGAAAGGTTGGTGGTTCGAGCCCACCCAGGGACGGCCTTCGTTGTCTTTTTTTGTATCCTAAGACTGAATAAATCGAGGTTCTTGTTTTTGTTGTCCTTTCCTGTTTGTCACAGGAGTATGATGGTGCACACTGTGCGGGAGCAATCACAGGCCGTACGTACTTCGGAACGACTCTGCTTGTGGTTCCGTTTTCCGCTGGTGCCTATTTGAGCGTTGGACCAGAACCGGAACGCTTTGGAGGACGGACCGCAGAGGTTGTCTGAAGGCCGAGGCCAAGATGGCGGCGCTGTCGGGTGAGTGAGGCTCAGAGGTCGGGATAGCGGCTTAGTTCTGGGCTTCGAGCTGGGGCTTCGGGGACCTTGGGGCCCAACCCCCGGAATAAGAGACGATAGGGCCCACACATAATGTCGGTGTCTAGGGTCGGGCCAAAGTGCGTTTGGATCCATTGCACACAGTTCTGCCTGCGATGAACTGCCCCCTATTACTGCAGCAGATTATAGTAGACGACACTGAGGCCTGTACATCTCCCAGCCTCAGGAGACTGATTGCAGGAGTCCGGCTGATGTCCCCGAAGCACAGAGGACAGGGAAGGGACCTGGACACTCAAGCCACCGGGGCTCTTCTTTCACCCCCATCACAGCCCTGGACAGTTAGGGTCACTGAGCAGATGTCTCAGTTTCCTTTGGTATCTTTCTCTTTAGATACAGGAAGTAAACGCAGATGCAGTCTGGCAAACTGAGCGACAGTTGCTAAGTGCCTTATTAGAACCTCCCATGACCTACCCGGTGGCTTAATACAAAGAACGAGAGATCTCAGGAAGTCAGGTCTAAAGCCATCTGGGTTTTGTTATTGCTTTGAGACGGTGTCTGATGAAACCCAGGTTGGCCTCAAACTCACTGTGTGTACTGAGGGTGATCTTGAAGACTTGACCCTCCTGTCCTCACCTCTCTTGTGCTGGGATGACAGGTGTGCA